CCGTCTAAATGCAAATTGCTTGTGCAGGCACAGGCTCCTGCCAGTCCTGTACAAGCAATTTGCATTTAGACGGTGCAAAGCACATACCATACCTCGACCAATAGTGTTTTTGTGGAAACTAGGAAATGGTGTAAATTAGGCACCGCTGATTCAGGTATAAGGGGACACGCTCCGGTGGCTCTCAATATTATTCGGTCCTCCTCAGCTAATGTCATTTTCCTTTCATCTCCTCCCCCCTCTTCCGCCGGAATAAGCGCTTGACCCGCAAGGCTTTTTATTTAGGCATCAATCAAGTTTTCCGAACTGTATTACAATGGTCGGGCTAAAGATAGTTAATGATTCAGTTTGCACTTCAGTTCAGTTCAGTTTGCACAACCATTAACCATGCACTATCGTTTGGATGAACATTAGGAGAAAGACAGGAAAGGTTGAAAGTAGGATCGAAGAGCAGATTGAAAAGTTCAGTGGATTAATGATACAGAGAAATTGAGAAGATGCACGAACACCACTGCTTACGACACCCAGCCATATCACTCAGTGTCTCTAACCATCGGGTATGACCATCCTGAGGTCCCCATTCAAGGAGCCTAACGGGACCTGTGTGACCTAGACTCCTGTTTAGGGTTTTCATACCCTCATGCCAGGTCTTAGCTTGACCACCCTTGGCTTTCTTTAACAGTTCACTTAAATTCTTAATCAATCTCCTATGTGACTCGTTAGGTTAGATATATTGTTATTTGGTGGTGAGCAGTGAAACTCATTTCATCACCTTTTTTTCCTTTTTCCTTTCTTTTATTGAATATACTAAGATACAATTTTCAGTAATGGAAAGCGGCCAATCAGAGGGTTGCTAGACATCAAGCAGTGGAGAAAGTTAGGCGATGGTCACGTTACTACTGGGCTAACATCAAAAATTACTGCATAAATATAACTGTAATCGGAATTATCGATTCGTTTTCACCTTTTTATTCATTTGTTGTAGACGATAATCTGAGTCCTGTTTATTTCTCTGTTTCAGTTCATGGTACCGTTCCGACAATTCACCTGGTATCCGTTCCTCTGGCATGTTCTAGTCATTGCCACTTACTCCTCCGTGGTTGGACCATTCGGCGGATTCTTCGCAAGCGGCTTCAAACGCGCGTTCAAAATCAAAGACTTTGGAGATGTATTCCCTGGCCACGGTGGTGTGGTAGATCGTTTTGATTGTCAATTCCTCGTCGGGGTCTTTGTGACCATCTACTATAATTCTTTCGTACGGTGGGTATCGCATGCTGACTAAAATAACCTTTAATTCTGTCCCCAATTTGGGTTTATCCCACTGCGCCTGAAATTCCATTGTTTGATTCGGAAACCGACTTCGAGTATCTAAATTTTTGAAATATACTCAATAATGCATTCCATTGTTCACAGCCCCAAGTTGTGATCACATCACGTGACTTGTCATAGATGTTAGCTGGTTGTCATCGCGTGCTTCACATTTGACAGTATCGAAAGATATTGGTATTGCTGACTAGGATCAAGGGAATTCCCACATAGTGTTGGCGTAGTCCATGCTAGCTAACAGTGATTGGATTTCGAGAATTACTTTGCTTGTATAGTTTTTCCTCCTCGTGATTTCATTTTCACATACAGTCGATCTGCTATGTCGTATCCCTGGGAATTCGCATTTTCCAATATCTTCCCACTTTTTCGAAAACCCAAACCAACCGTATGTTTAATAACGTAGTTTCTGATAATGTGATGTCGCACCCCTCAGTATGTCGCAGTTCCTGATACGTACTCAATTGGTCGTTTACCGATGTTCGGGATGACCATTGACCATCCACCCTGGAATGTCGCACTCAACCAATGACGTTGCACCTAGTGTGACGCGTTCATGGCACTGTTCACTGATTGGACAATCCTTGCGAGGAGGTCACCGATGCAAGTGATCGGATACAGTGTCATTCGACGTCAAAATGTGCAAACGTCTATCTATCAGAGAGAAGCAGAATGTGTTGGAAGTGCTGAAACAACCAGATGCAACTCAAAGCTCCGTAGCCAGATCACTTGGAATTTCACGAAAAACTGTCCACAGTGTTGTATTCTATCGAACGACTATCGGGGAATTGTTGAATGCTGGAGCATCTGAGGGAAGGTGCCACCTGAAAACCAACGAAAAGTTCAAAGCAGTGAATGAGGCAATTTTGGCTTGGTTTACTGCTATGAGGGAAAAGCACTGAGAGTTCCCAATGGTGGAAAGCATCGTACGTAAGAAGGCAATCCAGCTAGCCCAAATATTGCATCATAACGACTTCAAGGCTTCTAAAGGTTGGTTTCTCTCTTGGTCAGACAGGTATGGTATTCAATCGTACAAAGTAAGAAACAAGCAACTCATATGTGTTACTTTATAGGTCTGTGGGGAAAGTTTAGCAGTACCACGTGATGCAGCGGACGGGTTTCGAGCAGGGTTACCGCAGTTGAAACATGGATATGCTAACTGATATTTTCGATGTAGATGAAACAGCTTTGTATTACAGGCAGCTCCCAGAAAGAACATTAATTCTGAAAGGAAAGACAGTTTCTGGGTCCAAGGAATCCAAAGCGAGAGTCACGTTACTGGTTTGTGGGAGCATGACTGGTGAAGAGTTATCACCGTTGGAGATTGGAAGAAATCACTAACTATGGTACATACTACTCACAAACGAGTAGTATCTCACGACGTGCGCAGTTATAATTCTTCATACACTGCATGGATGACTTCTACGTTATTTCACAGTTGGCTATCCGATGTCAACCGCAAAATGGTTTCTCAAAGGCGATCTATTTTACTATTTATGGACAACGCACATTGCCATAACCAAGCCGCAGTGTTCCCCAACGTTCAATTGACACGGCTGCCACCGAACTATTCTTCACTGTTACAACCAATGGATCAGAGCGTGATTTAGTCTTTCAAGTGTTCGTTTTGGAAACTTCGGAAACATATCCCATATGTTTTGTCTTTGATCGAAGATGAGTAACTTATCACGAAAGCCGAGGTGGACATTCTCATGGCCATGCATCTGGTCAAGAAAGCTTGGGNCCCGCACGTACTGATCAACGCTTTCATGAAAGCTGGGCTCAAATCCACATTGGTTCAGCCGGTGATGCAGCCACCAGAGGATAAATGCGATTTGATCGAGGACTTTACTCATTATGTGTCTATTGCTGACCGTTTTCTTGAAGAAGAAATCGCCTGTTTGGAATTTGCTGATGAAGAAGTGGGTTATTTAAAATCCCTGTTTCAAGTATCTGGTGTAGTCATTAGATGAACTCGTTTCGAATCAAGCTAAGGATCACAAAGAAGAAGATAAATGCGAGGCGGTGAATGCGCCGGAAGTTGTCTCAATCAGAGAGGCGCATAAGTTGTTGGATCAATTGAAGCTGTTTGCCTTGGCTAATGCTCGGAGTTCGGGTCGATTATTGGAGTGTACAATTGTTTTAAACAGTGCGTTTGTTGATTTCCAAAGGAGAGCCAGGCTGACAAACGACGATTAACGATTTTGCTAAAAACACATCTTTGTAATCTGCAAAGATTTTCTTGCAATTCTGTGGGGCACTGAACTGAAATGTGAGGCATTCGAATGTGGTCATTTTGGCTACAGTGGTCGCCAAAGCCACGGTCATTCGGTCTATCCATGGGCTGTCGCACTAACGTGCAAACGAGTAAACGATATTCGCGATCGACTGGTAAGTGGATGAATCGAGTGAGATGTCAGATCCGAGCGATCGATAAACACCGCCGCGCGGACGCGCCTGTGTGAATGACTGATCGGTGCTCGCACTTTTCCTTGCTAGAGCACCGATGAAATTAGACAGGTCACTTGCCAAAGGTAATCATAACCCGGGTCTAAGGACAGTTTGTGAGATGAACTTTTAGTTTGTGGATCGTTAATTTCTTGAGAGTTGCCGTAATTCTTGTAGGCTGGCGTCTATGACCTTCGGTTGGCTGAACAGGAGTGAATTTCTTCCAAGTAAACTCCCATCTCACGCCGGTCGGAAAATTTGCGCGAGAACCCGCTTAAAAGAATAGTGTGTGTAGCTTTGATAACGTGAGCCCAGTGTTATCATCGCTTGAACTTTCTCATTCCGAATCTCCCACATGGCTCATCGTTCCACAACTGATTCTCGTGTGGTGATGCCCTACCAACACTTAAGCAACATCGAATTCAGTGCTTATCCGCCGCCTATGCTGACCCGAAGATCAGACGACCGATCGGGTTCATTTATCGGTCAGATAATCCAGCCGCAACAAGGGACCTGATTCTTAACCAGCTAACCCGAGCGAGAAATCACACCACAGCCGCGAGTCTTAGACAAGCCCAGTGGACTCTGACTGTACAGCAGGTGTGCCTTCACCACACTGATGGACTAAACGTGACAACAAGAGAATCACTTAATGTACAAGACAATGTGAAACGACGGGACAATCGCACTATCCCACTATGCACATAGCAACATAACATATTAACTTGATACTCGGACATCTGAGATTGAAAAAGGTATGGTTTATGGACCACGTTAAGGCATCACGTGTAGTCCGATCAACAACAGTCATGATGAATGCATCAGTCGGTTTGAACATACACTAGTAACAACAAAAGCGAACGAACGAATAGATGTCTACAGACTCTAATGATACACATTTTTCACTAGAAAGTCATGAGTAGATTGCACAGCGAACAATCATTTTGAATATGGGAAACAAATCATTGTTCTGAGTATACCCCGTAACAGATTTTTCACTCATTTGCGATGTTATTCCCTTCCCACTGTATTCGAACTGATTCGCCTTTATTTTCCTTGAATGGGTTAATGATGATTTGATTATTATAGGTAAAACAGTTGTATATTATGGTGGACGTCATATAATCAATTATTTGGTTAGCGTAACATTGCAACGAAATGGAGGAATATCTGGAGTTAAGATGGGATAATTGGGTGTGAAAAAGTTACCTTGAAGAAAGGTAGCTAGTTTCGAGATAACTAGACACAACTGAAAAAGGGCTAATTACCGCATGCAGTGTACCGATATTAAGCTGAGAGCATCATAAAAGATTTAAATTTCTTCGATACATAAAGAATACGCAGGACGGTAGATCTAAATTCCGTTATAAATAAACGGTTTATAATTATAAACATTGGGAACAACTGACGGGATTAACCTACTATTCATCGATCCGGTTTGTTTTGTCACATAACTGCCAACCGATTTTTATACTACTTACTATCCTCTACTACTGTTTACCCTGCTATTTCGCAATTCCTGAAATTTACTCACTTTTTCGAATTCCCGAGGGGTGCGACATAGCAGGAGATTGATTGTAGTTGTTTTGTTTGTGTAATCATTGACCATGTACTTTTGTACTAGTTGCTGTCTTTTGGCTGCCCATTTGATTGAAGCAATAAGAGGAAGAGAGGAAAGGTGAGAGTAGAGTCGAAGAGAAAATGGAAAATTGCAATGCACTAAGGTTGCAAACAGATTGAAAAAATGCTCGAACGCCATTGTTTACGGCACCCAGCCATAT